CTTTAAATTTTCCAACTTGTTATCATATAGTTTTTCAAAATCATCCCTAACAACCCTTTGAATTTCTGTGATATCAATTTAATGTCTATTTTCTTTCTTTCTTTCTTTCTTTCTTTCTTTCTTTCTTTCTTTCTTTCTTCTTCTGATACAAGGGATTTAACTTGGGGCTTGCCAAAGCTGCTCCTCCAGTCCTTTCATTTTTTGAGACAAAGTCTTGCTAAATCATTAAATTGCCCAGGCTTTTTTAAGATAGCAAGAGGCATTATGGTAACTATTGTTGATCACTTTGTATTTTGTTTTTACATTATGTATTATGTCCATCCTTTTGATTTGACTATTTTGTTATGTCACATTTGGTTTTAGTCTCTTCAAAAAAAGTAATAAGAACTGTGGGAGTAATAAAACCCAAAATATGAATTGTCATTGTACAAAAGAGAGGAAAAGAAAGTGCTCTAAAGGATATAAATGCATGTATATTTAAGTGTATAAGATAGATAACCACATTACTGAGTTTTGTTGGATCACTGAACAGAACGGTTTGCAGTCTCACTGTTTGAATATCCACTTTATATGCTTTAATTTTGTAACTTGAACAACTTTTTCTAAGATGACAATATGTGATTACATATCAACTAGTGATTTCCTACTGTTTATTTTTTCTGAAATTCTGTATAACTTGTACCCTTTTTCTGTTTTTTTTTTTTCTCCTAAAAAAAAATAAATTGCCCAGGCTGGGCTGGCACTTGGAATCCTCCTGCCTCAGCCCAAGCAATCCTCAGCCAGGTGTCCAGGCCAGGCTGCCAGAGTGTGGGGATTACAGGCATGTGCCACCATGCTTGGCTTTTAAAACATTTTTATTTAAATTAGTACATGTTTGCAGCATGTAATTTCTATATCCATTGTCTTGACTTCAACTTAACTTTATATCTGAGTTTTTTGTCATGATTTCTGATTAGTTATTTCTCAAAATCTATCTTTTCTCTTTGTCTCTGCTGAATATCTCATTCATATCTTGGTTTGTCTTCCTAATGTAGCCCAGGCTGGCCTCGAGCTCACAGTGATCCTCCTGACTCAGCCATCCCTGGGATTACAGGTGTTTGCCACCATGCCGGCAGGATCTCTTTGAACTTTTTAAATATCATGTAAAACAAAAAAATTACCAGACATTCATTCACTGTTATCTCTGGAGTCCATACTAGCTGGTGATGACCTCTAGGGGGCGTCATATTTCCTTGTCTTTTCACGTGATCCTTCCTGGGTGAGATCTGTGCCCTTGTTTGCAGGACTGTCTCTACCTCTGACAGGATGGCTTTCTTAGTGAGCCCCTTCCTCCTGCACATGCGGCCCGGACAGTGTTGAGTCTGTTGCCAGCCGGGCACTGCGGTGTAATCTACCCGCAGCCTTCCTCGGCAGTCATTAGTAAGTTTGAGCCCAGCGCACTTGCCGTCACAGTGGGAACAGCAGAGTGGGGACCGTGCCCCGAGTGCCTCCTCCCGTCCTGGGAGTGGTGACCCATCCGGTGGACACTGGTTGTTGCATGGGAGGGTCTGCATCCTGGCTGCTCCAGAGAGGCCCGAACCCCTGCCCTCCGGGCAGACTCTGGTGCTGGGCCAAGTGTCCCACATGGTGAGCGGGGCCAGAGTCACAGCTTCCTTCTCAGGCGCCCACACCGGCCTGCCTGGTCAGTGACTGGCGGTGGGGACTCGTGTCAGTGCGGTGGCAGCAGATTCGTAGCCCTCTGCCGCTGCTGCGCCTGCGCTCCCAGAAGAAGGACCTCGGGTTGTTGTGCAAGGGCAGGTGCCCCACCCCACATAGTGCCCCCTACAGGCAGGGGGAGTGTGTCGTGGCTGGGGTCAGACAAGCTTCCTCTCATCAGACCCGAGTGCTAAGGGAGCTGGAATGGACCTGCCCCGCCCCCAAACATTTCCTCTGGACTTTCTCTGGCTGCGTGCTCGGGAGCAAAGGAACCGTGAATCCAGAGTCCTTTCCCCACCGTGTCACGACAGGCGCCACATGCAATGCTGGGACACAGGTGGTGAGGACCACAGTCCTGGCACCTGCATGGAGCCACCTGTCACCTGCGACTGGCCAGGCCCTTGTCTCTTGAGGTGCCCTCGCTTCTCTGTGTTGCTGTACCTGCTCCCTACGGTGCCGTGTTCTCAGAGCGTCCACCCTGAGCCGGGCAGTGAAGTGCTGGTGGGGGCCAGAGATGGGAACATGTGAGGGTTTCTAGTCCCCCAGAGTACCTAAATCAGACAGTAGGTCCCTTCTCAAGATGGCTCCAGGAGCCAGCACCCCAGGATGGTTTTGGGGAGATGAAGTGGGTTCCCTCTCCATAGCTGCAGTGCCTCACCTGTTTAGGTTGAGCCTGTAAAGTTTGTGGAACTTTCCAGTGCTAGGGCTGCCAGTGTCTGCGCTGCTAGGTGGCTGAGACTGCTTCACCCTTTGGTGAATGTCCTGGGGAGAGATGTCCCCCCCCCCCCCCATCCCCGCTGGCTCTGTTAGGGTGGAAGAGACAGAGATTTGGTTTCTCTTCCGGCGATGCTGTTCCAAGCCTATGCAAAGTTTCTGGGTTTTCTCCTGTTGAATTCCATTGTTCTCTGTCATTCACCAAAACAAAAATCTCCACACTTGTAACTTTGGTTCTGTTTGTGGAGGTGAGTGTGGGTTGCCTACACTGAGCCATCTTCTTTCTTGTTCCCCAAGCCCCAGCTTTGGCATTCATGGGTTCATTCATTCCCATTCATTCATTCATTCATTCACTCATTCATTATTGTGGAACTGGAGCTTGAGCCCAGGCCTGCACACTAAGCTACATTTTCAGCCCTTTTTATGTTTTACATTGAGACAGGATCTCAGTTGAGTACTGAGATCCTTAAGCCACCTGTACTCTTTCACTTCATCAAGTATCTGTGGGAGTGTGTGGTGTGTTCCTTTCCTTCTTCCCATTAGACTATTCAATTCCTGAGGACTGCAGATGTGTTGGGGTTATTCTGTACCTATGTTCCTCAAATTCAGCTCTGCAAATACGGAGTCTAGGACCAGGTTTAAGCAGGGTCTTGCCGGATCAGGAGAAGGTGAGCCCTGCCCTCTGGATCTCGGCAATAAAGGGGCTGACTTGCACCGAGCACCTGGCTCATCTGTCTGCAGCCTGTGGTAGGAAGCATTGCTGATACTAAAGCAGAGGCATAAACAGGCGTGGGGGCAGCTGGACACAGGCTAGGAAAGGAACCGCACTTGAACAGGAATATGGGTCTGGATCAGCAAGGAAGGTGCTGCTCCCCGGCTCAGGAAACTCCACTCTGGCACCTGTTGTGGGTGACGCCAGCCCAGCCCCTGGGCATCCCATCCTCAAGTCTGCTTTCCTGCAGGCAGCTAGAAAAGGAGCGCCCAGGACTAAGGTGACAGAGGCCTTGCTACATGTATTATAATTTCTTTTCTTGTTGCTGAAACAGAATACCTGACATCCAAAGTTAAAAGAGGAAAGCCTTATCATAACTTAGTTTGTAGAGATTTCAACTCATAGTTGGCTGGCTCCAAGACAGGGTGGCATGGCAGAGGGGCAGAGGGGTGTCAGAGAGAAGAAACAGGCCATGGCAAAGCAGGGCAGGCAGGAGACAGCCTGCAGGGAAGTAACGAGTAGCCAGTGCTGCTGGCACTTTCTGTCCCCTATATTCTGGCCAGCCTGCCCACTGTTAGGGCAAGCAGCACTCACACCCTCAACCCTAGCATCACACACCTTAGCTCCAGCACCTCCAAAAAGCCCACCTATGATCACATGAGGCTCTGGGGGACAGCTAGATACAAGCTATCGGCACATGTGAGTGCTCAGAAAGCCCTGCGTGAGAGCAGACAAGATGCCGACTGGATCAGAAGACCTGGATTTGGGCTCCGTTCTGCTCCTCTTGGCTCTGAGGTCTTGGGCAAAGCCCAGCAGTCTCCTGGCCTGAGTGCGGCCCTGGTGGGGTGGGGGTAAGGCTCCTGCCCTGCCCTGCCCCGCCCCGCTCCCGGGCTGCTACTGTGGGGGTCAAGGATGTTCAGGAACGAGTGGGCAGTGTAGGGGAGACATCAGCAGGGCCCTCACCAGAATGAAGAAAAGAATAGGGAGCAGTGACAGGAGCTGTTGGCCCGCAGGTGGAGAGGCCAGGGCTGGGCTGATCAGAGCCCGAGCAGCACCGTGCGCGGAAAGAGGGGGTCTAGGCAGCAGGGCTGTGCCTGAGTCTGGATGGAGGCCACAGCCTCCGGCAGGGTTTCCCAGTTTACGGCTGCTCCGGGCTTTGTATGACAGGTGGCGTGTGTCTGTGGAATGGTTACACTCACACATTTGTGTGCAGCTGGTTTGTGCCCAATCAGCCCAGGTTGCTACGTGCTTCCGTGTTGGGGACACCAACACAGGGAGCTCTGCCACGGCCCTTCCTCTGCCAGGTGTCCCGTAGGACAGGGTCCTACCCACAGTCCGTCCTGGGCACAGGGTGGGCACGAAGCAAACGTCAGTGGATTATAAACCCTGTGATCCTTAAAAGGCCCTGCCAAATCTTTGGGAATCCCGGGAAAGACACTTGGCTGGAACAGGTTGGGGAAATTCTTTCTTTCCTTTTTTCTTAAATTGATTTAAGACTGGTCATGAAGTCACTAGGTAGCCCAGCCTGGTCTTACACTAGTAGTGATTCTCCTGCCTCTGCCTCCTGTATGCTGGGATTACAGGTGTGTGCACCCAAGCCTAGAAGAAAGCTTTTGTTTTGCTTTTTGATACAGGGTCTCAGTATCCAGTTCAGATTGGTTTCAAACTATGTAGTTCAGGCTGCCATTGAATTTGTGGTGATCCTCTTGCCTCAGCCTCCGGAGTGCTGGGATTATAGGTGTGTGCCACCATGCCTGGCATGAAAGAAGTCTTCTTCGTGGTAAGGTTTGACCCTTTACAAATCTATGATCTCTGCTGGTAAATTAAAAAAACTATCATTTTAGGATCAACTTCAAATTAAATAAGAGTCAAGCATAAGTAATTTTAAAAAAGTTTTATTCAATCATTTAGACTTGAAAGAAGTCACAATAGTTAACACACTTATGTGCGTTCTGTACACCACCAACCCAAATGGATTGATTCCAGAATTTTTATAAATAAAAAATAAAAATATTTACAGAGGGAAATAAAAACCCATCAGGCTGTAAATGATTAAACTGTTATCTAGAATCAGTTTGGGAATGCACCCACCTGCAGGATTACGTAGGATTTTATGAGGTTAAAAGCCCATCTTTGAAGAAATTAGTTGTAAGACAGTTTCCATGGTTAACTACAGCTTTTTCCTTCCCAAAAAGAATTTAAACCAATTTACATACAAAGCTTCATTCTCCTTTGCTGGGTTTCCTGGAGGTAATAAAAGTACATAAACTTAACCCCTCTCTAGAACCATCCAAGGAATAAAACTACTTAAAGCTACAAATAGGTCTATAAAACTACAGACATTAACTGTCGTACAGTTTGTGCTACTTGTCCTCCAAAATAGTGCAGATTTCTTCGTTTACCCACCAGGGACAAAAAAGAAGTCAGCTTTTTTAGAAATCAGTTTCAAAGTTCATCCTTCTAGAAAGCCTATTTCTAGAACAATAGTTTCCACAATGGGGGGAAAGGTTTATTCTGTATTATAAAAATATCTCCACTTTAAAGCTCTCTATATTTCAAGGAATGTTCCTACCTCTGAGGCAAAAGGCGAGGCTGCATGGCTGGGCCAGCAGCTGCAGGAGAGCATGGAGCAGGCGCCACCCGGCAGCCCTGTCCTAGGAGAGGAGCACAAAGCAAGCGTTGGCTCTAAACAGGGCAGGCCCCAAGTCCAGCTCCGGTTTGACTTGGAAAACACAGCCCGAAATTAGCCTGAGCAAAGAACAAAATGTTCACACCTGCCACTCTGGAAAGTGGTGGGCTCCTAGAAGGGGGCCACTATGCCCACCAGGCCCCACACTGTGGCCTGACAGCTGGTTGCAGGGCTGACAGCTGATTGCAGGGCTAACTGCTGGGCACAGGGCTGCGGGAGCTGCTGGGCAGCCTCACGGGCTTCGTCCCCGACGAGCTCAGGGAGCGAGACCGCTGTCGGAGCACTGTTTTCCCTGGCAGCTCCAAGTCCTCAAACACAGAGTTTTCAATGATGTTTGTGGCTTCAGGCCGGTCCATGGGGGAGGGAGAGAGCATGTCTTTAACCATCACATACTGAAACATAAAAATTGTTTTGTGGTCAAGTATCAGTTTTAGATCATTAAACAGTGCTTCTAAAGCAAGAGCTGAAAACCTTTTTCTCTAAAGTCTGTAACCCATACAGTTTCTGATACCAGCAGCTGGCTTTGCCACAGAAGCCTAAAAGAGCCAGACGGCAGGTCAGCTGAGGGCCTCGCTGCATTCCAATAAAATTTTACTGCAAAAACAGGCAGCAGACTGGTCCTAATTTGCCAACCCCTGCTTCAAATACAGATTATTCTGGGGCTAACCGGCGGTTTTTCCAAAACGTAATAAAAGGTGTTCCTTAAAGTACACAGAGCTGGTTTTTAAAAAAATACATTTGTCTTATCACTGTGTGAATCAACAATTATTTCAATAAAACTTTCAGCTGAGAAATAACTTGCCTGAGATCAGCATTTAATACTCTCTTCAAAGTTCGTTACACAAATGTTCCTACCAAACCAGCTTTACTTTTCCCTCCTGACCTTAGGCTGTGTGGTGAAACCAAGGAAAGTGTCCCTCAGCTGGCAGGCGGAGGTCCTGCAGCACGTCCTCCTCCCTAGCATAGGAGGCTGGTTCACCCTCTTCCTTAACAAACTCCGGCCACACTCAGAGCAGGCCCCTCCCCGTCCTGGACCTCGGCTTCCTCAGAGCAAATCAGGGATGAGCACGATACGTACCTCGCGAGGATACTGCTGAGTGAACAGTACGGGAAACTTGAGATTTCTTACATCAGTCAAGGTCTAAAAAGAAATAAAAGTATTGCTTTCAACTTGACATGTGACTCTATTCAGACAAACTGTACAAACTCTGCAATGCGTGTGTGTGTGTGGGGCGTGGCCTGGGGATGATGCGCTGTGCGTGGGGTGCGGCCTGTGCCTGGGGGGACGCCCTGGGCTCCCTCGCTGCACAGGCATCTACCCCCACTTCACTCTTGATAGTGTCCTTTAGCGCACTTAGAATTCTGATTGGTGACATCGGATTCCTAATTCTTTGCTTAGGTTGAGTCTGTTTTAGTTTTCATTCATTCAGTCAGTCATTTTATTTTTGCGGTACCGGGGATCAAACTCACGACCTCGAGCTTGCCAGGCAGGCCTAACGCCACTGAGCTAAATCCCCAGACCTGTTTTAGTTTTCTTTTTGAAATGTTTTATGGCCTTTTTTTCTGCCACTGTAAAATTCAGTTACTTTTTGTTTTGGTTTCTTTCCCTCCATTTATCACACAATTCTTTGGCCTCAATATGAGAACTATATTCTCTTCTATCAATGCTGGAAGCCCACAAAACAGATCAAAGCTGATCAACTAAGAAATGGCTTTAAGAGCATAAACTCTGGAAATATGGGGGAGGGCCCAGGGACAACAACTAGCAGAGCTGAGGGTGCTCACTTATGCTTACTTTTTTGTTTGGTTCTGGGAACTGAACTCGGGACTTCGTGCTTGCCAGACAGGCGCTTGCTGCTGAGCTAAATCCCTGGCCCCAGCTGCTTCCGTTCAAAAGACCTTGAATAGCTTCTGTACTGATGCAGCTACTTGTCCTCTGGAAAAGTCTTTTCTGGCCAACTACTCCCGGCTCCTGTAACCCCCTGGTTCTCCTTGCTTTACACTTAGCGTAAATTTTTTTTTTTTGAAAGATATTGTTAAATTATCATGAATTTAAGCCAAGACAAGGAACAAACAATAAAATAAAACAAAGTATTTGAAGACTGGAAGCAAATGATCTAAAAATCCTTCTCGTGTTGGAAGGCAACCTCTCTGGCTTCCAGTTAATTAGTCTGCTGGCATTGGAATAACTGAATTTTTAAAAACTGTTTCTCAGGAACCAAGGATTTAGCTCAGTGGTGTAAGCACCTGCCTGGCAAGTGCAGGGTCGAAATCGATTCCCAGTACAAAAAAACATATATAACAATCAATAAAAACTGTTTCTCTTGGGTTACTGTTGATGTTTTCTGAGGAAGGGTGACTTACCCGGACTCTTTCCATCTGAGTGCTGAATGGGTACAGCAGTTCAAACAGAATCAGGCCTAAGGAAAAGATGTCCACTTTATGAGAATAGTTGTTCCCTTGGATCTGAAATCCATAAAAAATATTTTTAAAAAAATTAACGACAGTACAATTGATATTACAGCATTTCAAAATCCTTAAGTTTCCTTAGCTCCTTCTTGGTTTAAAATTAAGTGCATGTGTAGAAATGTTAGTAAAGGGTTAATCTCTGGATCCTCCTGCCTGCACTCCTGACACCAGGTAATTACATCCCTCAGCATTACAGAGGGAAGAAAGCCCAGGTACCTCTGAGATATGCATCAGCAGAGCAGGTGGCAGAAACCTGGAGCCTGAGATGCTAACGAAGTAGGGAGCCAGGAACAGCTCTCATTCCCCGAGGTGAAGTTTTTTCAAAGCCTACATTATCTCCCCCAATCTCTCATTCTAACCATTTTAGCCTTTGCCCATTTTTATGAGAAAATCTTCATTACTCCAAACCACTAATCAACCCTGCTTGGCCTTCATTAAGGCACTTAATTGCAGGCTGCTTTGCATCCTTAGCTGTATTTTTCATGTGCATATTTTTTATTCTTTACGACTAGATTCTAAAGTCCTCCAGGGAAGAGAACTGCTTCTTTTGTCTTCCCATCTTCCAACACTGGGCTAAGTATAGAGAAGCTCTCAGTGAAGGCTTGTTAAAGTGATCAAATGAATCACAAATGAACCTCTCTACTGCGGAGAGCCTCATTCGAATTACAAGTGACCTCCTGGTGACACACAGGAGCCCTTTTATTCCTGAGACTCTCTCCAGGCCTATAACTTGACCCTTGGCAACAGAGGGGGAGGGAGTCACCTGGGAAATGATGGGCACCGCGGGTTAGGGTTAGGGAGCCCTCGGTGACCTCTCCTCACTCTACACTATTCTCCGTGTCCACCCACTGCACCTCTGCCCAGCCAGCTGTCTCCGCGCTCAGCAGGTGGAAGGCCCTAGCACCATCTTGACTGTGGCCCTGCTCCCTCCTAAGCGACATCAGCAATTCAAGCTCCCACCCCAACTCCTCATCTCTCATCTTTGGGGGCTTGGGGAAGTATTCAAAGAAATACAAGATTTGATTGGAAACTATGGCCCAAGTTACATTAAATAAGCCTCAGGACAGAAGACACACTGCTGTTAACCCGCCTGACAGCACCCGATACCTTCCCGCAGACCCATGTGGCCACTCTCTGAGGCAGCTCCAGTGAGTCCTCCTTTGGGAAAGTGTTTAGCTGTACTGTTGTGGCTGCCTCCACGTCCTGAGCCAATTCAAAATGCTTACTTTTCATGACCGTTTTGACTCTGAGGAGCCCAAAGTTGCATGCGGCAGAGCGAGTGAAAAAGGCAGATGAGGCCACCCAGAAGGGTCCTCAGCGCCTGCCTTTCTGCCGGGTGGCACCTGGCAGCAGCATTCACTGTATCCCTGATCACACCCTGCGAAGACACTCACAAGGACACTTCCAGACTGCTCCAGAAGGTGGTAAGGCCGATGGGACACGTGCATCTCAAGTAGGGGGCTGACGGCAATGTGTCTTTCACTGTGACAAAGTTAAACATACCCCATACGTTTGACCAGCCCTTAACAGAGTACAGCGTTATCTCTTCAGCAAGATGAACAGAAACTCATGAGAAGTAACTGGATGAGACATGTTTACACCACCGCTTGATGATCCTATCTAACTTACCCACCCTACGGTAAATGGAAAAGGGACAAATATGGTTTTAAGGACAGTTATCCAGGTGACACTCCTAACAACAAAATTAACAAGTAACCAAAACGTCCAAGACCAAAACGTCAGCTGAGCTGACGGAATGGAACGCAGTCAAAAATATTTTCTAATGTTTAACTATGTAGGAAATGTTCACATTTTAATATTGTATCCCAAATGTTAGAACAGAATCCCAATTTTTCTAAAAAGAGAGAGGATGTGTATATTCACAAGAGTTGCCAGCCCCTGTTAATGGTTTAGAGATTTTTTTTGTACCAGGGATTAAACTCATGACCTCGCACTTGCCAGGCAGGTGCTTATGGCACTGAGCTAAATCCTCAGCCCCTGGTTTAGGGATTTTTAATAAGTAGCTTTCACTTTTTCTCTGTATGTTCTTTATACTGTTCACTTTTCCTAGATGACAAATTGATATATGAGTGTTATTTATAATTTTAAACATTAAGTATTTTAAAAAGACATACAGTTTAATGAATACATGACAAATTATCTCTACAAAACACCTAAAAAATCATGAGCTAAGCAAAAAATTTCAAGGGAGGAAGAGTATATCTTTTCAAAGTTTAAACTGACTGTTTTATCACTGCAAACATTAGATGGGGTTTATCTTTTTTGGTAATTACAACTAAAACAATGAGTAACTATCCTTCCGAAACTTAAAATATTATTTTTAACAACTTAAGTAATAATTTTTTTCTTTTTTTTTTTTTTTTTGAGACAGGGTCTCACTATGCAGTTTAGGCTGGTCTCAAGCTCACTGTGTCGCCCAGGCTGGTCTCAAACTTGCAATAATCCTCCTGCTTCAGTCTACTGAATGCTGGGATGGAGGGGGTTATGTACCACCACTACCCCAGTTTAAATAATAATTAACTTTCGAAAAATGCTATTAGATACCTCTTATTTATTCTGATCCAGGACAATACAGAAAAAGTGGGAAGCACAGAGAAACCCAAGACAGATTAAAATTGATTCCAAATCCCCCTGGCTCAGATGCAATGATTGTTACGGGTTATGGCTTTCCTGGTCTTCTTTTCTCTGAATATAAATAAGCATTTACAGTATAATGCGATTTCTCACTTCACTTCTTCCTTTCACCAGGTCCTGGCCACATCACTTAACCAGGAGAGTTTCATTACTCAGGCCGACAGATAGCTTCTTCTACGTGCGCTAGTTTGGATACTTCTGCTTGCAAATAATGGCCTTGAATTTACTATGTAGCCTAGGTTGGTCACAAACAATCCTCCTGCTTCAGCCTCCCAAGTGTTATGATTACAGGCACACGTCACCACTTGCTTGGCTACGTGAGATTTTTTTTCTGAGACACGATCTTGCTATGCAGGGCTATGCAGCGCTTACTTGGTAGCTTGGGCTGGTCTTGAACTCACAATGATCCTCCTGCCTCAGCCTCCTGAGTGCTGGGATAACAGGCATGTGCCACCATGACTGGCACTTAGAGATTTTTAAAAACTCTTACCTATTTAAATATGCTTAATTTCCTTTCTTTTAGGATAGAAAATTATTTATTAAAATCAACTACAGAACACAAAAGTATAAATAAAAACTAATGCATAGCTTTATAAAATGAAGAAAATAAACCAGAATATTTACAGGAATTGTTTACTTCAGTAGTTCCAGCTTCCAGTATGCAATAATTATTTGTTGTTCTTGAAAAAGTACTGAAGTTAGAAATGAATTCACCTATTTTCTACTTTGTTGTAACGGGATCATACAACTTTCACAGTGAAAAAATGTAAGTACTATATAAAAAAACAAGACTGATTTCACAAACCCAAAACGACATGGGGAAAAGGGCTTTAATACTGGTCACAGAAAGAGATCAAATATTAGATCGACAATAAATCATGGTTACAAACAGGAAAACCACGCTGTTTGAAATAAGGGAATCAGAAGTTTTTACCAAAAATGGAATGCTTTCTGATGCAGAATGATAAGGCTTAGCTGTCAGTGTTTCTGATGACTCTGAAACTTGTAAATATTCACTATTTCGTTCTTCCTCTTCCCCTTCTAAGTTTTATCCAAAAGATCTCTGTATTTGAATCTTCTGTGTAATAATGAACAGTTCCTCCGCTCACTCAATTCTCTGTCAGGCAATTACACTGCGTTGTCTTCCTTCAGCGAGGCTCAGTCGACCTGACAGTAACAACTTGCACGTTCTCCTCCTGCAAGGTCTCATCTTGGCAGTGTTAAAGCCTCTATCAACCAGGTACCGGGCTGTCTGCAGGGGATTGGCAATTCAAGCTGTTCGGCCTCTAGCATAGGCTGATTCTGTTGCTTCCCCCTGAGAGTCCAGCAGGGGCGCTCTGACTTTAGTCTTTAAATTTTCTCAGCGCCTGTGACCCTTTTTCGTTTCTATGTATTTGACATCTGAGTCCTCAATCACTTTAGAGGTTCTGGAGTTACTTCTTCCCGGTTTCCTGAATAACACGAACTCCACCCCGGAACTTAACCAGAATAATTTTATAGTAGAATCCATCTGGATTTTTTCAGGAGCCTTCTTCCAAAGATCTTTGAGGGATTCTTGTGTTTCAGGAGAGTCATCTGCACAGAGGTTGTAATCTTTCCTTTTCTCCAGGCTGGCTTTGCTGGCACAGCGCTGCTCCTCAGTGCCTCGCTGCCGCTGCCCCGACCCCACCTGAAACTTCTGTCTCTGTGTGTGCCAGCCCCGGCCATATCCAAAACCCCTGGTCACAGCTTCTTTTCTACAAAACGACCTGTGGCTTTCTGGACCTGCAGGGTTCTCAGTACAAGCACAGTAGGCATAATTTGTTTTTCCCCTACCTGAATACTTGTATCATCTGAAATTTAAGATGTTTAAATTTAGGATTTTTAAAAACACTTTTTAGAATTACAAATATATAAAACCTGAGAAAGAGACATTTGAATACTGTGAACAACTGAAGTACTTTGGAAGGTCATTGTAGATCAATAAAATAAAGTCCTGCTTCTCCAAAACAGCAGTTATTGTTGATCTCTGATAACAATCGCTCAAAGATGATCCAGTCTAGTGGTTCTCAAATTATGGTCTGTGATCCCTGGAGAGCCTCTCACCCCTTTGGAGAGCTGCGAGAACAAGACCATCTTCACACTAAGACTACGACAAGAGATGGAATCTGAGCATGAAGCACCAGCTGTATCAGTAATTACCCTGCTCAAAGTCACAAGTTAAAAATACCCTCAAAATCAGAATTCACTTAAAATGTCCTTACCGAGCGGTAAAATTATTTTTGTTTCTCTGAGACAGGGTTTCACTATGTAACTCAGGCTGTGTCACAATTCTCCTGCTTCTGCCTCGGGTGCTGTGAACCCCTGCCTGGCCCCAAAACTGTAAAATCTCAGCCCTCTGATACACATCTTCACGCTAATCCGTATGGAAAGAGCATTTCAGCTTCCCCGAATCACAATGGCTGTGTGAATAAAAGCGCTTTTGTGTGAGCAGATGCAACAACACACACCAGCTGTGCCGTTCACAGGACGCCACTCAGAGTGGCAGACGGACTGGTGAACAAGCTGCGCTTATTCAGTCCTGGGTGCTCAACAGTTTTAAAAACATGAGGAATACGCAAATGCCTCTTTAAGGAAAACTGACAGTATTTGAAGCTGATGATAAAAGTTGAGCTTTTAAGTGAAAATCCCAATTTTGAAAAGTTTGCATCCACCCGTAGGTGCTCCCCAACACCTGGAAAGCTGTGTAGCAAGGCTTGTGGTGATATTAACCAACAGGACTTTCTGATCTGTAGAACAAAACATGAGAACTTTCGAGAAGTGCATAGCTTAGGGAACCAAGAGTTTCCAAGTGATGATGTACAGTGTTACACAGTTATGCCTGGGTGAAAAATCTGTGCAAACACCAGCACAGACCAAGGGATAGTGAGGTAAGAGAGGACAAAATGAGCTTGAGTATTTGTCTTTTTGGGACAGGATTCACTATGTTGCTCAGGCTGGCCTTGAACTCCCAGCAATCCTTCTACCTTAGCCTCCCAAGTGCTAGGAGTACAGGTATGCACCACCATGCCCAGCCTAGAGCTTTTAGATCCCACAGTCAAAATGATTTTTAAGAAATGATCGCACTGAGTCATGATGCACTATCAAGGAGGAGTATCCATGATTCCCTGAAACGAATACTGATCCCATTTTCACTATCTGTATGGGCCCAGATTTTCTTCACGTACCTCACCAAATACAACATATTGCAACGGACGTAATCCAAAAGCAGAGATGATGGCTAGCTCTTGGAAGTCAGATAATAATGAGATTTGCAAAGAACATAAATGCCACTCCTTTTTGTTGTTTTGGAAAACATCTTTCACAATGCATAATAAAGCTTTATAAATTTGTCAATTTTAATTTCTACCAGGGCAAATATTGACAGATAAAATTCTTTAGGACAAACCTGCAGGTTCTCTGTCATTTTAAGTGAAACGAGCACAGAGACCCAAGGCACGGGGCTTGCGGATCTAAGCCCAGTGAGGCTGGCAAGGTCTGCTGCCCGGGAGCTCCCAGCATGCCCTGCTGCCCAGGCTCCAGGCCACACCCAGCAGATAGCACTTGTCCTCTGAAGACAAAGCTTCCCCCAAAGCAACATGCAACTCTATTTCCTGCTTTCTGGACTTTCTGGAAGCTGCCCCTGAATGGTCAGAGGGCCCCCCTGGACAATGTCTCTGTTGTGAGCTGGCCCTGAAGCCAGCTCCACCAGAGCTAACTGGATGCAATTTTGGAAGGTGACATTCAGGGTCTTTTTCTAACTTTCCTGCTGTAGTCCGGTGCTGGTTCAGGTGGTGAGAGCATGTTTCCTGGGCTGTATTTTCCTCAGTCCATCCCCATGTGAAATGGAGTGGTGTTGCCTGTGGCACATTAGTGTCAATTTTCCTAACTTTCTGACTTGATCCTGGAGTTCTAATCTGAGCAAGGCAGGAGGTTCTGGAGGCACAGCTAGGTGACTGCCCTGCAGACTGAAGCCTGACACACTCACCTGTTCCGGGCTCATGTACAGTTTGGTCCCCACTTGTCCTGTGTGTGTGGCATACGCTGGCATGGGGGTCAGCACTGTCTGCTCGTCCTCGTCCTGGTCCATGGCTGTCACTAACCCGAAGTCTCCAACCTTGACCACGTCATCCATCGTGAAGAAAATGTTGGAGGGCTGGAGAGGATGAAACGGATGAGAGTACAATGATCACGTGTAGAGGGGAGGAGAGTTACTTAAAAGATTATAGAAAGGAAGCATGACACTAGATAGCCGCAAGTACATTTCTCTTTAAAATTGGCTAACATGAAAATAAAGCTTTTCTATGCCAGACAAGTACTGTGTAAAGGGAGGGACGGCGGAGGTGGACATCGTGAACATTTATTAATAAAAGCCTCAGAAACCCACATTCCCTCACATCCAGTATATACAATCCTCAATCTTATTATTCTACAAACTTTCTCTGGGTAAACTTCATTTATAATTAAACCATAACAATTATAATAAAAAAGGCAAAATGCATACAGAGTGCTTGTAATGTGGCAGGTACTATTCTGAGCAGTCTCCTGGTGACTGTGGAGATGCTATCCCTTGAGATGTTATCACTCCTGCCCCATTTTATAGATATAGAAACTGAGGCCCAGCAATTAAAAATAAATTGCCCAAGGTTTCCCGCTCATAGGTGGTAGAGTAGCCTGGCTCTGTGAGAAAAGAAATTTTGTTTTATTTCGGTTTAATTTTTTGAGACAGGGTTTCACTATGCAGCCCAGGCTGGCCTTGAACTCACAGTGATCCTCCTGCTTCAGGCTCCTCAGCGCCAGGATTACAGGCAGGCACCACCACATCAGGAGAGAAATGACTTTTTGTTTCACTGCCATGTCCAGTAATAAGTAAAGCTCTGTGGCAGCTAATCACTATTTGATGATGAGTGAAATAAACATTTTCTTTTGTTTGTTTGTTTGTTTGAAATATGGTCTTGCTATGCAGTTCAGGATGGCCTTGAACTCACTTTGCAGCCCAGGCTGGCCCTGAACTTGAACTTCCTGCCTCAGCCTCCCGAGTCCTGAGATTATAGGAGTGTGCCACCATGCCTGGCAAATAAACATCTTTTAGTTTGTGTCTGAAGGGGGAAACAGACCATTAAGGAGGAATAAGAACTCTTGGCTGGTAGCACCCAGGCTACCTGTTCTAAAACTCAAACATGCAAGACTGTAACTTCTTCTTTTTTTTTTTTTTTGGTCTTTTTCCTTTTTATTGGTACCAGGGATTGAACTCAAGACTGCCTGCTTGCAGGGCAGGCGCTTATGCCGCTGAGCTAAATCCTCAGCCCCGCTAACTTCTATCTTTAGTTCAAAACTCTTATGTGAAACTGTTTATAGGTCTAAAAGGTTTGCCATCACTGTCTCAGGAGAACTCTGTGCATCTGAAGAACTGAGGAAAGCCCATGTGGACAGAGTAAGGTACAGTACTAGAGAGCTGGAGTGGCAGGAACAGAGAACACCGGCTGAGGACAAAAATGTAACCAAAGTACTAATGTGGACGGCATGCGGACGGCACGGGTGGATGAGGGGGGTTAGAAGACTTAACACTGGGCTCAAAAAGGCAGGCTATAATATAGCAAAATGCATGGCTTTTTCTTTGAATAGCTTTTTCAGCTGAGGAGAAAATATGTTCATGTTTTTTTTTTTTTCTAGCACACTAAAAATTTGTCTTTTGATTTTTAGAAAAACTAAAGGGGAAATTAACCTTTTTCTTGGAATTTTTCTGCTGCATATACAGAAAAATCTTTAGATAACAGTATAGCATTGAACAAATTTTACTAACAACTCATTTATATTACAAACTTAGCAGCAGACTATTCGCTGTTAGTGAAAACATAATTACGTTGTCTTTCAACTTAATATGAGCGTACAACAAGCATTACATCCAAGAAGAATGTGTGTATCAGCTAGTTGTCTTCACCTAATGATGGAGGTTCACTGTTTCTAAAGCTGAACAGCCAGAACCCTCTCAGTTAAAGCTGTGTAATCTCCAGGAAGCTGTCTGCTCTGTTCTAACCAAGACCTCGTCTCTGACCTGTTCATCTGGTACAGAAAAATTCCCAGCACCCAATTTGTACTCAAACCAAAATTGATAAAGCACAGAGATTATATATATAACTAAAACTTATATTGGAAAATAAGAATTATTTCTAATTCTTATTCCTATTATTCCAAACCTCTTAAAATATACTGAAGAGTTTAAAAACCTCCTGTGGATTTTAGAAGAAAATAACTTTTGCCCAAATAGCTACTTTGGTGCCTGAGGCAAAAGTTTGTGGTTACATAAATAAAACTGAAAGTATTTAGAATGAATCCAAGTCTGTCAAGAAGTTAAGCTGCTTTCATCAGAAAAAACATTTTCACATTCATTACACATATACAGTGACCACTGTTAGCAAGTGAATGGTAGAAATTAAATAAAAGTTCTGCGAACTTATTTTCACAGACCTACCAAGGAAACACTACAAGTTTTGTAAGACCTTTATGTCACTTAGTATAGTGCATCACTATGCTTCCCAGCACTGTATACGGTAAGACACAGTTGAAGGCTTTAGAGCCACAATTACCCGCTGGTTCCATTTGCTACCTTTCTCTATACAGCTTTCCCTGCAAAGTCCCCAGAGTGCCTGGGTCAGGGTTATAGGAAAAACAGGGAGTAACTGCTCGTGGTGGATTTTACACAACAGCTTCTTTCTCTCTCCTTTAAGGACCCTTGTGAACATGACTGAGAGTGAAATGAACACAAGCACGTTACAGAGGAGAATGCACCGCTTGCGTAACCTGTTCCCACAGCAGGCCTCGTCATCACGCCTTCTTGGCCCTCTCCCTGATGCTTTCACTCCCTCCCTCCCTCGGTCCCTCCGTGAACATCCGACCAGTCCTGCAGGTGCCGCCCTGAACCCCCAGGCATCCCAAGGGAACCACACACCTTGAGGTCCCTGTGCATGAGCCCTTTGCTGTGCAGAAACTCCACGGCCTCGGCGATCTGCAGGAAGATGTGCAGACACGCACCCCGCTCCCGCTCCTCCAGCGTGCACCGCTGGCTCATCCAGTCTTTGAGGTTCTCCTTTCTGCACAGCTGCATCTGAATGTAAAGATACACCTTTGGCGAGCTGGGCTGCAGTTTCTCCGTAGTGTTCTTACTGAGATCTAAACTTAAAGTGGTTGGTCTTGGAGGAGAAACAGACAGGGTGGCTTCCGAGGAAGATCTGCTGCTGGAGTACTTGAAGGCAGTGAATTTATTAGCACAGTGGTTGCCGATATGCACTCGGTTAGTTTTGAGCTCTCCTTTGCTGGATGCATTATCGCAGCCAGAATCTTCGAACACTATGGAAGAGGAGGTCTCCCTTGACCTCACGTAGGGAGCAGCTTCGGAAGGACAGAGTTCAAAGGAGTGCCCCTTGTCACGGCTGTCCATGGTGCCGTCTTCCACGTCACAGTCTGTGAGGCAACTGTCCTGCAGGTTGTTTGCTGCATCCACTGACCCACTGCTGTCCCCGTGGTCCATTCCCGACAGTTCTAGCGGGGAGAACTGGCTCTCGGAGGAGCTGGTCTGGCCACAGGAGATCCCCACAGAAAAAGACCTGCTTCTCTGTGGCAAAGGAGCTATGACTTCGATGTGCTCTTTGGTGGAGAAAGGATCCACCCTGCGTATTTTAACAGATGGTGCATCCATCGGGCTAAGAGAGCTGAGCAGCCAGTCTGTGCTGAAAACAGGAGAAACACAAAGAGAGGACAGTGAACGCGTGTTAAGTTATTTGAGATGCACTTCTTGTTTCAAAAGCTTCACCTACAATAACCCGATTAGCAAATGACAAACAGCACAACCTGCACCCGTTCCTTCTGAAACATCTTGATTTGCAAGATTAATTTATACTCGAAACAGCTCTCTGGGATGATCACATCTGAGGGATGAAGGCTTTCAGTGCAAAATGAAAAGGCTTGAAGAACACCAAGGACTGGATTCCTCGGTGGCTGTGATTCTGAAGTCCCCATCAAAGTTACAGCAGCTCACAGCTCCTTGAGACAAAGGTCAAGCAGTGCGCCATAAGTGTCACTGTGGACACCGCCTCCAGCTGCTGGCCTCTACCTGCACCTGCTTCCTCGCCGCGCTTGCGAGGCGGCTTCTGCAGGGCCCTCCTTTCTATGGCACACTCAGCTAAAGCGGGCAAGGCTGTCCAGCTATTTCTGGTTATCTCTAACTGCAAATATAAAACTGCCTAAAAGGGAGCTGGAAATTGTTAACTGCTAAGAAAAAAAACTAAATACAAACTTACATATGGAGACAATTAGAGACAGACAATACCTCACACTGAGAAAAGCCACCGAATCCCTCAATCATAATCCTAATCATACAGCCCTACTGACCAGTACTTTTTTATAACCTCCTATTCTCAAAAACCTCTGCTAAATGGTCTGGGAGCATTCCGGAACATGACATACAACAGGGCCCTACAGTTCTTTTTCTAAAGTTACAGAAATGACATTGTATCCACAGAAGCAAAAAGCCTAACAGGAAGTAGCAGCTTTTAAGTCTATGTTTAACTGAGTTACCTTTCGTCTTTCAGCCAGATTTCATCCATCTTTTCTTGCCACTTCTCAGGTGGTGCTTCCAGCCAGGCATTGAAATACCGCACGATTCCTGGGTGTTCAAGTTTAGCTAAGGCTTTAACTTCTCGCATCACCTTTTCCCGAGCCAATTCCCTGAGTCAGAGAAAGTAAGAAGATGCTGAAGGTTGTCCAAGGCTGTAGAAATATTCATAACTAGTAGTGACAACAGAAAAATACAATAGGATAGAAGCCTCACTTGAATTGGAAACCAGAGTAGGTGTTCAGTCTCGGGCATAATCTTTAAAAAACCAGAGTATGTCCTGCATTAAAAACAAAAAACAAAAAACTCCATATGTCCTTCAGTAATTTTTTTTTTCCTTTTGGAAACGAATGCCACAAACACATCTGTTTTTTTCATTATTTTATTTTAGCTTCTTGGTGTGATGACAATGAGTCACTCTAGACTCTTAATGTTTGCTGGTTAATAGGAGAAGGGGTAGGGATAAGAGAAATACTCAGAAAAGACAGCTGAGCATCCGCCTCAGGCTCAGAATGACAAAGACCAGCCCAAGAGGGTCCACATGTGCCCCAATCCCTGACCCGAAGAATCCTGCCCTGCTTACAGAGGCCTCCACGCCTGCATCCCACAGGCACTGACGGGTGACACAGGAGACTGCAGCCCTGCTAGCTCTCCAGACGCCTCCAGCTCACTCATACCTGGCTAAACCTGCACGGCCTCCGTCACAATCTAGCCTTGTCTGGTAAATATTTACACATACAGGAAAAATACGCCGATGGAGCAACCAGTAAAATGCACACAATCGATAAATATTTGTGCATAAGACAGGTATTTATGCACATACATACTTAGTTCTTTTTTTTTTTTTTTTCCTTCTTGGTCTTTTTGAGATAGGGTCTTTGGGATACTGTTCAGACTGGCCTTGAGCTCACTTTGAAGCCCTGGCTGTTCTCAAACTTTCTACGATCCTCATGCTTCAGCCTCCCCTGCCCCTGTGTTGGGATTACAGGCATGTGCCACTGTGCCTGGCTCTACATACTTAATTCTAACAGCCTGCTTGGGATGCCTCACTATACTATATAGAACAGAACATACAAATAAAGTATCTGATACCAATATATACATATACCCATACAAATGCATAGCCAACAAATATATGAACCTTCTTGTCTGTCAATATGCAAATAAACACATTGTATCTTCTACCCTGCCCAGAAGAATGTTAGCTACTTTAATTTTTCCCTTTGTGTTACTGCTGTTAATACTTAGTTACTATTCTCCTTGCTGAGAAAAACACCCCACACCCAAAGTTAAAGGGGAGAAAATTTACTTCAGCTCCCGGTTTGTAAAGGTTCTAGCCCATAACCTGCTGGCTGCAAGGGAGGGTGGCACGGCAGCAGGGCATTGCGGAGGAGAAGCAGCGCACGGTGGCAAAAGACAGCAAAACAAGCGAAGAACAAGACAAGCCTTTTTCTGTCCCTTACACTGTGTCCAGCCTACCAGAATTAGAGGGGTGCCAAACCCAACGGTGTACCCTTAATCCTGGCATTGCGCTGTGAATCAGTCGCACATTTTAGATTCTGCTGCCTCTGGAAAAGCCCCACCTATCTATGACTGTATGAGGCTTTGGGGGGACATGTAGACACAAGCCATAATATTTGCACTTCTAAAGATACTGGTACATTTTTTAAAAGTTTTCCAACTTCTAGATCTCTGCATTCAGTTATCCAATCCTATCAGCCCTCCTTTCCAAGTTCCTGTTCATTCCTACCTTAGGTCTACACTGTGGGCAGAGGAGCCCCTAACATTCTCAACTCTTTTCCTGTTCTCAGATCAGCCATCTACACCTGGCAGAGTCACCGCCATTTTAATCAGGTCACATTTCTACACAAACATCAGGAATACAAAGTGACCTATAAATAGGACAACATTTAGAGAGCAAAGTTACTTAGTAGCACTGAGAACCTGGTATTTGGAAGGCTGGAAATATGTTCTCTGTGGTAAGGCTGAGCACAGGTGAATGAAGGCCATCACGCCTATGGGATTAGAACACCCAGTGCTAATTCCTGGATAACTGAAGTAGCATCCATCACCTGTTGGGCAGCCGGATCCTCTTGATGGCATAATTGCAGTCATCTACTTTGTTTCTAGCTTCAAAGACAACTCCAAAGCCACCACGACCCATGCACTGAATTGGTTCAAAATCTGTTAGATATCTAAAGAAGGAGAGCACAGTAATTTATTAGAAGTTTATAATAATTTCTTTTTTTTGTACCAGAGACCTCATGCTCGTCAGGCAGGCGCTTACACGGCTGAGCCAAATCCCCGACCATATAATAGTTTTATAGTTCAGTTTAACCTTACCTTATTACAGATATGATCCATAAATTTAGTAAACTTACAGAACTTATTTTAATAAAGAATATGTTTTGAATTCTATTCATTACATTCTTAGTTCTTGTTAGCATACAAAGCAAATTTATTCTTACACGTTTCCTAGGAAAATTAAAAATAAAATATTTTAATTGGGAATTACTTGTTCGCCATTTGCTGTTTCAGTAATTGCATTACTAATTCGTCCTACCCAATACTTTATCTATCAAAATGCCATATTCTTAATTCTAAACCTTTTACCTTTTAAGGCATTTTGTATGCAATTAAAAATGCAATCTCATTTCATTATTTTCAAATTTTATGAAAAATTTTAACTAAGTCTATTACATTTAAGAACCGCTGTAACCAGCAGTCCTAGGAGGCGAAACAGCTGACAGCAGCTTCCGGAGTCAGCGGCACACCTTAGAAGGTCCGCACCAGGGTGACTCGTCCGCCCCCTGCCGGGCGCAGCCGGCACCTGCACAGTACAGCCTGCTTTGCTTCGCCCTGGTGCGGACCTCCCCGACCTCACTGCCCTGCGCTGCAGACTCCAGGCTGTGCATCACTTTTAATCCTATTCCTTTCTCGCCCCGTTCACCTCGGTAAGGCCTTCTGGGCCCAGGTCTTAAGGACTCTGCAGCACTGTGCACACAGGACTTTGCACTTAGCCTCCTTCTCTATATTCTGCAGTTATTTGTATGCAGCATGCCAGACCTACCAGCACTGTATGTAGGGACTCTTGGCACTTTCATTTCCCTTCACATGCCTAGAACTAGGGAACCACCTCCCAGATCAAAGGGCTGAAGAATGTGTGTCAATCAAGAGATGCATGAATGCATGCTGTGGAAATTATTCCGACCACACGGGAGAGCTGCGTTAGAGGCTCTCTGGCACCCTCCAGAAGGGCAAGTTTACTGTTCTGTGACTGCACACTTACACTGATATAGTAGTTGCCTCAGCTGGTCACAGTACAGAATTAAAACGGAGAAACAATAGGCCCCAACCCTCCATGGGCCAATTACCTTCACAGAGAATGAAGAGTAATAATCTGTATTCCTAAAAATAGCTAGCCACTGCACTTCAGCACAGATCCATCCCCCCCCCAGTGCAGGAGGTCACACATTTTCTGTCTCACTCCTGGGGGGAGAATGCACCGTCTTCCTGTATCACACCTTCCAGAAAGGGTAACGGCCGATAGTCACTACAGATGCACAGCACCGTCCGCTCCCCGTGGCAGCTGCAGAATGACAAAGCTGGGATCTGGACTCATGACCGAGCCCCGAGTTCAGGCTGTTAACAGTGCCTAGGGTGTGGCAGTCACACGTAAACAGTAGGTCGTGTGTTTATAGAAATGTTAAAAACAACCACTGCACTTCTCATACTAAATGAAATTAAAGCTGAGTTACAGTTAGTTCAGTTTTAGAGTACAGTATTCCAATTCTCTTGATCTTGGCCTTGGAAACCCACCTTTATTCCCTATGCCACTCTCTCCTCATCCTGTCTCCAGCTGTCTAACTCTTAAGACTAAAGATTCAATTCAAATGCGATCTCATTAACGATGCCCCCTTGAGCCCTCACAGCCAGGTTTACTGCTTCCTTCCCAGCCGTTCTTGCTGATGGCTGTTTTTCTGGGTACCAGGCCTCCCCATGGACTGGAAGCCTCCCCAGGCCAGGCCCTGTCTTTCTGTCTGTCTTGGAGCCTCAGAGCGTCTGCACACAGCTGTTCAGAGTCAGAACTGAAGAACAAGGACTGGCTCAGTGCTGGTGAGCTGACGGGAGACCTCGGTCCCCTGCTCCTGCCACGTCCACGTCAACGAGGTGCAAGAGTGGCCCTCACCATGTGCTTGTCACCCACTAAGTTCTGCTTTGTTGTGAAATTCACCTGTTCCCTGCCATCCTGGAGCAGCTGGCTGAGCACCTCAACTAACGCCCACATCTACCAATCACTTTCGTCTCTTCTATCAGAAAACCAGGACTTTGGACTTGAAGCAGCAAAGGCCTAGACCTTTTTGTTGCCCCTGTATCACGACAGCAATGAGAAGTATGCTATTAAAACAAAACAACAGCTACGATCCATGAGGATGAAAAATAACCATGGCACCACTTCCTCTACCACACAGCATCGAGGTGGTATTTTATACTTAGGTTCTCCAACTTGAGTATCTATCACTCTAAATAAATACAATAATTATTATTTGATATTATAAAAGAGAGCTCCAGTACATGGTAGAACCTAATTAAGTTAAACAAATAAGAACTTAGTCTGATGGTTGAAATTCTAAACTCTTCTAGCATCTCATTTTTATTCCTCTTAAGGTACATACCATTATTAACAAATTTAAGTTACTTGAGGTTTCAGGCTGTTTTATTTATGTGGATGTTCACATGTTAAAAAACAAACTGAGTTTTCAGGTCATTTGCTCAATGCAAATGACTGCTAGAACAGAAATGGAAGCCATAATATTTCATAAGACTCTTACCGCGATACATAGCCGGAGCTCTTTACGTCAGCCGCGCCACTGTCGCTGGCTTCACCACTTACAGAATCATATTTACTTTCAGTTTGACACTGAGTTTCAGATTCCTTCCTTTGCTGATAAAACAGAAAACAAAATTATTACCTGTATAAAGCTGAGTTAAAGTTAGTTAACTATCTCTGACTATAACATAACATTGAAAAATAATAGTAAGAAAAAAAAAGCATTATAGAACCACACATAAAACATTCTTTTTTTGGGGGGGGGGGTGCCGGGGATCGAACTCACGACCTCGTGTTTGTAGGCACTTATGCTGCTGAGCTAAATCCCCAGCCCAAAACATTCCATTTTATTATGTGTAATAAACAGTTTATCATCCCACTGCTACTCCTTTAATCTTGAGAGAGACTCTTGTCTCTGTTGCAGGGTGTGGGTATGCTGTGTGTGCACACTAAGCATAATGTGTAAACAGCTAGAAGGAAAAGGTCCATACATGTAAGTATGAATTCAGAATTCTAGGCAACACTCGGGTAGTTTTTCCCCAAGAAATTCTGCAGATGTTCTAAGAACGCTCCTGATAATCGGAGATTGGGTTGGCAGCATCCCTTCACCAATATCCTCAGAAGCTTTTCCAGAGGGTGTTAACCGTTATTCTGGCCCAAGACAACACTATGGTCCATGTATTCAGTCACTGATTCTTTCAACAAACCTTCTGTAGCGGTGACCCATGTGCCAGGCACTGTGTAAGAACCAGGGAGACAGAGGTACCCACAGCCTGGCCTCTGTCCTTAGGAGTGTGCAGTGGAGAGGCAGAGGGAACTGGCACCCTATCAGCCATGTTAGTAAGGGAGGGCAGGGTGTTCTGATGCAGAGGAAGAGGTTAAGGGAGATTTCCCAAGGACAGATGAGCAGTCTCAAACTTAAAGACATGCAGGAGTTAATCATTTGCGAAGGGAGAAGAGCTGGGAATCAGAGTTCAGAGGCAAGGTCAGAGGAATGGGCACCATCAGGTTCCTTCGAGGAGGAGCATGTGATCTAAAGTGGGCTGGGTCTGGTGGTGCACACCTATAAACTCAGCATTCAGGGGGCTGAGACAGGAAGACTGCCATGAGTTCAAGGCCAGCCAGGACTACACAGTGAGATCCTGTCTGAAAACATCAAAAAGGGGAGAGCAACAGAGACAGAGAGAGAGAGAGAGACAGAGAAAGAGAGAGAGAGAGACAGAGACAGAGACAGAGACAGAGAGAGAGAGAGAGAGAGAGAGAGAGAGGAGAGAAAAGATCTATCCAAGGGATTGGCAGCAAGAGAGGAGGAACGGACAGGGATGTGAGGAGGGTAAGTCATGAGATGGAGCACAACTCACTCAGAGCCACGCATGCTTAAAGCAGCATGGACTCCATCCTACCAACAAACAAACGGAGCTTGTTACTAGAGGTTTTCCAGCAGGGAAGTACAGCTGTAGTTTGGAGGCACGGGCATGGAGACCAGCTGGAAGCAATTTTGGTAACTCGAGAGAGATGCGATGCATTTGTACTGGGCAATAGAAACTGGAAAAGGGAAGGGGAATCTGACAGCCTGGGTGACGGAGATTCCGGATCTGGTGACTGAGTTTGGCAGCGCCCTTAGGGACGAAGAAACACCCAGAGGCACGTGCTTGGGGCGGGATGGGGATAGGAGCAGTGCACAGGGCTCTTGTGGGGCTCGGCTCCCTGAAGGGTATACAGGGAGCTGGTCTGACTACACAGCTGGTCCAGGGAGCACACAGGAAACCTGGGGTGGGGGGGACAGAGGGGAGACGGGGAGTGTGGTGGTGGGGGGGATGGACGGGGACACACACTGTCACGAAGTCTGGGATGACAGGAAGAGTGAGCTCTGTGATCTCCTGCTGTGACCTGGGGAGCAGAAGATGAGGAGGATGAGATCCTGAAGGGTCCATGCAACACCCAAGGAGAGCAGTGAGCCAGGGAAGACAGGCAGAAAAGGCCCAAGAGAGGGGCTCGACAGTGTCAGACACACAGAGGCTCCGTTAGCCAAGAGCTGGAGCATTTGTCACTCAGGCGGAAGCAGCTCCTGTGGACTGGCGGGGAGGGACACATGCCAGTTGGCAGTGGCTGAGGAGTGACCAAGAGGTGAGGAGATGGCAGTGGAGTCCAGTCATCCTCACAGAACGACACTTCAGTCATCAACAACCCAATATATGAGAGTGGTCCTGTACGATTATAATGGAGCAAAAAGTACCAACAACCTGGTATTTTCACTGCGTTTTTCTGTATTTAGATGCACAAACACCGTTGGGTTGCAGCTGTCCATGATGACATGTTGGATAGGTTGGCAGGGATAGAAGCAAAGGTTGTCCCACGTGGCCGAGGCGTGCAATGGCCCAGGCCATCTCAGTTTATGGGGCACCTTCCACGACCTCTGCACAACCCTGAAACTGCTTAATGCCACACGGCTCCCAGTACAGCCCCACCCTTGGGCAATGTGTTCACAGCAATGATTTCACAGTAAAACTTAGATTCTCCCTTTACCCCACCGTCACCATGTAACAACTTCTCTCCCTCCAAGGTTTGGAAAAAACATTCGCTTTTTCAAAATGTCTTACTCTGTGAGGCTGAGGACGGAACAGTCTGCGCACGATAAAAGTTGTTGCTACGATACAGAACAGAATGGTTCCGACTATTTCCTTCCACCAGTGCAGGAGGAGAACAGGGTCCTTTTTGCGGATATTCTTGTTGTAACTTGGGTTGTCAAAGAATCTGACGGTGATCTGTGTGCTCCGTTTGCTCCTCTCCCTCTTGTAGTAGGGTAGATAATAACCATTATCTTCAAAGACAAAGAGGAAAAGCCTTGCGTTTTAAGATAAACCAGAGGAGGCCTGTCTTTAACTGTTAAAATTATCTATTTTCTAGGACATATAACAATGATTTCTTATTTCTCTTCTTTAATGCATTTCAAGTATCTTCCTTGCCTTTTCCTTATGGATATTTTTCTTTCTAACATAAGCATCTTAAATTTTCTTTATGCAATGTACTCAAAAAAAGGAGAAAAAATTAAGAGCCATCTGGTTCATTCCTTCAATAACTAATTCAATCTTAAATATGGAATGAGAACTCAATATTTATATGTATACATATATATTTATACATATATACACATATATATACGTACACACACACACACATATATATATACATATATACATATACATACACACATACATATATGTATGTATATATATAACCATGAGTCAGTCTTTGTGTTTTTTTGGAGAAAGTCTCGCTATGCAGTTTAGGGTGGGCTTGAACTCACTCTGTAGCCAGGCTGGTCTCGAACTTGAGGCCAGCCTGAACTGCACAGTGAGACCCTGTCTCAAAGAGACAAAAAAGTTAAAAAAAAATGATAACCTAATTTTTCATCATTTTCATGTAGCTTTACGTACAACAGTGATTTCTGTCATTACACAGGCTATTATGATCTACACAAGTAGGCTAATTGTGAGTGAGAGCTTACAGAAAGAATTAATGATTCAATCCTGACACCGTGTGCAGGGCACGGTGATAACAGCCTTCACATGCTTCCCTCAGACCCGGTAAGAACCCAGTGAATAGACACGGGAAGACCACCCTTGCTTCAGAGAAAGGAACCGAAACAGAGAAGTTAGAGGGCTCAACTCAGGATGTGGTAAAACTGGGATCTGAACTCTGGCAGTATGATTTTGGAGCGCCTGTGGCTAGCCGCCCCTCAGGATATTTCCTCCTGAAATGGTTTTCTATGTTCCAATCAATTTCCTTTTATTTAAATTCTGTGAATTAAAGTCAAGCAGCTGAGTAAGACAGAACTCTGTGTTTTCTTTGTTTTTTGAGGCAGGGTCTCACTGTGTAGCCTGGGCTCGCCATGAACTCACAGTCCTCTTGCCGCAGCCTCCCTGGTGCTGGGACTGCAGGAATAAACCACAGGCCTGGCCCGGGACTTGGCAATATTCGACTCAGGAGGGATCACGCTTACCATACGGGTACTGCAGGATGGACAGCGCGCCGTTACTGTACTCTTCATGAGAAAACTTATCGTTACTAAGACATTTGTCAAACTCATCAGACCCTACCAAGACTGGAGTTCTGGAAGGAGAATCTAAAAGAAAACGATAAATATTAACTGTTAAGCCATAATGAAAGCACACGTGTTCATGCACTGAACAAACTGATGTCTGGTCACAGGTCAATGCAGACACGTAAATCAAACAAATGGCCCAAGATTCCTGCACTTGCAAAGTTCACAGTCTGAAACAGAATCGGAGTCATTTATAGAAGTAATTAAAATATAATGTGGCCTGTACAGTTAAAAAAAAAAGCTACATAAAGGTATTTAAAGCAGTTCATACGTGTCAAAGTATATGATGTAATGATGTGGTAACAAATTTTTTCCCCCTAAATATTCTTCTTTTTTTTTGTACCGAGGATCAAACTCATGACCTCATGTTTGCCAGGCAGGTGCTTATGCCGTTGAACTAAACCCCAGCCCCTTTCCTAGATAGTCTTAAATAAATATATAAAGAGCTGAATGTTCTTTTGCTATGGTCAGTAAATGGTTAAGAGTTTTTCTAAGCTGCATAGATAGCTTATTAACATTTATTTCTATGAAGCGACTGCTTTTTCTAAGAATGAAAGCTCTAAATGGCAAATTAAAATTTGTTATTAACATCTAAAATGTCTTCCCAATTTACTGGTAAAATATAAAGCATATAATAATGATCATCTCTGCAGCATTAAAAACTAGGGTAAAGAGAGATTGAGGTTTCTAAACATTTCAATAGTATTTATAAAGTTCATAATTCACTTACGAATCAAGGGCTTCCATTTGATGGTTGGCAAAGGAATAATTGCATTTTCACTGGACTCCAAGGCCTTGGGGCTTGTGGGAAACTTCTCTGAAATTCTGACTGATGACTGCAGGTATAGTTGGCCTCTATACATTCCTGAATCAACCAGAACAGTTTCGATCATGCAGTGATATTTTTAAAAGGTTTTGACTTAATAAAATTAGACAAATTCTCATTACATCTTTGAGTGTCACATGCTCTATTCAAAGAAGAAAGATGCCTGGTCACTCAAACATGACTGGTTAATCGGGGAAAAAAAAAGAGGAAAAGTACAAGCTGGCCTTGAACTCATGGCAATCCTCCTGCTCAGCCTTCCAAATGCTGGGACTATCATCCTGCCCGGCCAGGAAAACCGTTTCAATAGAAAAATTCAAAAATTTAAGTCATTGTACTTCATAAAATAAACAGCATGTCGAAGTAACTTCCTCTTTAAGTTTTATCTGAACACTTACAACCCCAAGCCATGGTTAAGAATGCAGTCAAATACTATCAACAGAGCATGCGTGAAACTTTCTCCAAGTCTTGCTTTTCATTGGGTAGCACATGATAAAGCTTATATAATTTTAAAAGTACTTAATGATGCCAAATGCATAATTCGGAATTTTAAACATTTTACTATATTAAGTTTTTCAGTTACCCAGAAGTACAGCAAAATTTCATTTTTGAGATCTATTGTACAGAACTAAAAAAAAAAAAAAAAAAAAAAAAAAAAAACCTCAATCTTTAAGAGGGTAGCAAACTAATACAGATATAAACACAAATACAATTAAGAAACAGTTGTAGACTGAGGCCATATAGGTAATTTTTAGGTCAGACCATACAATGAGAACATTTCTTACCCTTTCTAGTAAGGCCTCTGATGAAAAAAGTATATTGTAGTAATTAAGAATTTCAGAATTGGACAGACAAATGGAATAATAGCAGGACTAGAAACCTTAAGGGCAAACCACATGAGAGAAGGCCTTCAGGAATCATAAATACAACAGGCACCGCTGAAGTAGGAAGGAATAATGCGAAAATAAACTCTCAGTGCAGTGTGCCTGCTGGTCATCGGCAGGAGAAGGCTGCTCACCCAGGTACACGCTGTTCTCCGTGGCTCCTCGGGCTGCTTCTACAATGTCTTCTTCATCTTCCAAAACCTCCTCGTTAGATGCGTAACTGGTATCATCAAAAAGGCTGATGGGGATGACTTTTCCATCCCTAAGCAACCAGGCAGATGCAATTGGAGTACAAAACTAAACAGAGACCATAAACGGATTTTAGAAAGAGTGTTTAATGTAGTTTCGACTCATAAAGGAGGAAGGAAAATTAAAAAATAAAACTTAAACACCACAAATCTCTTCAGGCAGAGAGTAAGTTAAGAATCTATGCTGGGTGTTGTAGCACATGTCCGTAGCCCCACCACTCTGGGGGCTGTGGCAGGAGGAACCCCACAAGTTCAAGGCCAGCCTGGGCTAAAAAGCAAGTTCAAGGCCAACCTGAACTGCATAGCAAGACCTCACCTCCCCCAGCACACACACACAAGAAGTCAGACCCAGCAAGTATTTCCCTCCACCATAAATGTGGACACCCTGGGAGAGAAGGAAGCCTGTTTTTAAGTCCTCGGTGGTTTCAGGTACCTGGTACTCCCACTCCAGGTGTCCTCCCTTCTTACTGAACGCCATAACCTTCCAATCAGCGACCGAGACCTTTATAACCGTGTCCAGCATGGTAGCTTCCTGTTCTTCCACGTCTGAAATAACTTTAGACTCTTCTTTGTTTGCGCTGGGCTTAAAGGTGCTTTCAATAAATCTGGATCTAGTTTCCAAGTCTGGAATATACCGAAGTTCAAAGTGGCCAACACTGAAATTCCACCTTAAAGTTACAAAGGCTTGTTTTAGAAATTTACAGGTAAACAAGGGGGCCAAACAGCACAGAATTCTTCTACATTATAGAAGCAAATACTAGAATTTTATGAAGGGAAAAGTGTCAACCTAACTTTCTGGAAAGGCATGCTCTGCTGCTTTCCGCCACTAGGGGGCACACGAGACCGGCCCTGAGCCCTCAGAATCAAGGGTTCTGAGAGCTGTGGACAAAGCAAAGAGGGGTCCGACTTTTGCTCAAAAACTAACAAATGTTGACACTGACAGCAAGAATGATTTTCTTAAGACACAATAAAGTCGCCTGAAAATACGCTGGCACAGAATCTGTGCTATCTATTTTGGGCACATTTCACTCCAGATGAAGGCATCCGCTTTAGAGTCTTAAGAAAGCACAGGCCCTGCGATCAGCGCCCCTGCTCCAGGGGTACAGCGCTGCAGCCCCAGGGTCAGGTGTCTACTGACAGCTGTGGTTGAGAACTTCCTCTTCCCTAATGCTCAGTGCCCCTACCCATCAAGTAGCAGTAATGCTTCCTCTGTAACTAAGGATCAAAAAACCCTTCACTACTGGCAGAGTACTGTCACGTAACTACAAAACAGAGAATACTGACATCTATTGAAAAAATACACATTTAAGAAGCAAGGATCATTCTTGAACCCCTACACCCAGAGTTACTGTGGTAACTCTGAACTGTTAATTTGTACTTCTGTTCTATGGTGGTCAAATCCTATCAGGATGAAGAAAGTCAGGCTGCTGGCACATGCAAAGCCCTACACAGATAAACTGGATTTGGTGCATGCTTGTAATCCCAGCATTTGAAAGGCTGAGGCAGGAGGATCACTGTGAGTCTGAGACCAGCCTGGGTTACTAAGTGAGCCCAAGGGCAGCCTGAACTACATAGCAAGACCCTGTGTCAAAAAGAGGGGAAAAAAGCCCTACGCAGGGGCCAGTGAAAGGAGAAAGGATGCATTATTCACTGGTTTGAAAACAGTTTTCAAAATGATGACTGAATTATAGTGCATCAGACTGACCCAATCTGAAAGTCTAGTTCACTTTCAAAAGATACAGATGGGGCCGAAAATTATTCTTATTTCACATGCAATGTAAAACTTAAATGTTAAGTTTCTGTTTGTTTTTTTTGGGGGGGGGGTACCAGAGATCAAACTCATGACCTTGTACTTGGCAGGCGAGCACTTATGCTACTGAGCTAAATCCCCAGCCCCAAATGTTAAGTTTTTAAAATCCTGGCACGTGGTAAAGAATCAGCGTATCTCATTTTTTCATCACATATTTAAATATAGAAATTACATAACGGGTTCATTATTTGAAGAAGGAAGCAGGGATTAGGTTACATATGTGACTTGAATGCTTTAAGGAAAGTTAAATAATTATTCTCAATCTGGGATAATGAAGTGAACCATAAAAACTCCTACAACCTAGGACTACGGAGTTTATCAGGCCCAAGCCTAAGGAAAGCACATTAATTTTAAGAGCTTCCTGCAGTCAAAGAGCTTCTCATCAGGGTTGCTATGAAAAACGACATTAGCCTCAGCCTGAACCAAAGTGCAGGCACCCTGGTTACCATCTCTGGAAGCACAGCATTTACTTCAGCATTTAATAACCCTGGAGCCACGTTTAATTTAGGGTCTGCATTTCTCTTAAAAGAACAGCGTCCTTTCAGGGGAACAGAATAGCGCACGAAATCTGCCCAGAGGAAAGTCTGGAGACTTTTGGTCCTGGGTGCCTCTAGATGACAGGGACAGTGACGTCCCTGGATACGTACTTCTCGCTGCCACTCCGGGGCCCGACTGCTCGCACGGTTTTCTGCGTGCGCTGCAGAAGCAGGATGTCCTCTCCCTCTTCCAGGTCATCGCTGTCCCACCGGCGACAGCCCAAGGCAGAGCAGATGTACCTCACCTGCACAGAGAGGTGACAATCAGGGCAGGACATGGTGACGGGAGCCCAGGGATGCCACCCTGTCAACAATCTTTAACGGTGAAAAAGAAGCTAAACACATACATAAGAAGTACCAAAGTAGTGAGTACCGGCTAAATCACCACTCATACAGTGAATTGTACAGAGCCATGAAAGTCCTCAAATATTTACTAGGAAATGATTTTAAGGGTTTGGCAATTTTAGTCTTATTTTGGGGTTTTCCATGGAACATATCAGAAGAAATGGAGAACCATGTATAAAATCCTTACAACATTATCATTAAAATTCTAGCTGAGTTAAAAACATCAGCTTCAGCATTCCAGATAACAGAAGTATTTGTTTTTTGTATTTATTCATTTATTTATTTACTTATTTACTTATTGTCTTTTTGAGACAGGGTCTCGCTATGCAATTCAGGCAGGCCTTGAGCTCACTTTATAACCTAGGCTGGTCTCAAACTCGCAACCATCCTCCTGCCTAAGCCTCCTGAGTGCGGGGATTACAGGCAGGAGCCACCACACCAGGCTGTTTTTTAAAAATTTGAACATTTTCTAATAGTTTTCATACTTAAAAGCTTCTTTGAAGCTGGATATGGGAACACTCACCCGTAATCCCAGCACTTGGGAGGCTGAGGCAGGAAGATTGCTGAGAGTTTAAGGCCAGCCTGAGCTCCACAGTAAGTTCAAGGCCAGCCTCAACTACACAGCAAGACCCTGTCTTAAAAAGAAAAAAGTACTTCACAGAGCAGACTTTATTAATTCTCTTCCTCTTGCTCTTTGTGGCTCACTGTCTGTTCTTATCTTACATAGATTTTAGTTTCCTCTTTTTTCCCTCACAGTTCTGTTATAAAAACAAATGCTACCCTCAGGAGAAAAATTATAATAAGACTCAACGACTTAACATACGGCTTAAGAAATCTTCTATCGCAAATTATTCAAATTTCCCTGCGATAAATACATTTTACACACCTTTCCACTGTATGCACTGAGTCCATACGTAGTGAGAGATTTTCCTCCAACCAAAACAACGTCATCTCCAAATTTATAAGAAGATTCAAGAAGGGACTCGACTGTGAAAGGAACGGTTTCCATGCTCTCCCGGTCCCGGTCCCACTGGAAGAGGTCTCCATCCAGGGAAGGGATGATCATCTTATTCCCAAACACCTAAGACAGAAGCAGCTTTTACACGGTGTTACTGCAGAGGAATCAGAGCCAAGAGCTGAGGCTTGAGGCCAAACTACTCCAGCCTCCTTCTGAGCGCCACGGGCAGCAGCACAGTCCAGCGACCAAAGGTAATTTACAACTTCCCAATGGCCTGGGCCCCACACATAACAGACACTCGTTTGGTTTTCCTTAAATGCTGCAATAAGATCTCATAATGATAGTGAGTTACCAAAAGAGAATTTGGAATCTAGGGAGGTCAAGAAAAGGTTCCTACAGGAGGTCTTCGAGCCATTAATATGTTTACATGCAATATGATTTTCTAGTAAACGGGCTATACATGTAGTACTTGGGGGACCTGTTTTAGACACGTCAATGACTGTCACAGACTTTGATCCCAGCAACATAGGTTTGGAGATGTTGACTCACATAGTAACCCACTTTGTTTTTTTCTTTTGTCTCTTTGAGACAGGGTCTCACTATGCAGTTCAGGTGAGCCTTGAGCTCACTTTGTAGCCCAGGCTGGTCTTGAACTCACAAAGATCCTCCTGCCTCAGCCTCCCGAGTGCTGGAATTACAGGCGTGCGCCACGATGCCTGGCTCATCCCCACTTCTATATGTTCTCAAATCTGCTCTGGGCCAGGCGCCTGGTACTAGGCTGAGTGGCCAAATGGGCTCTTAGTTGCCCTCCCTTCTCTAAACAGTGCTTCTGGAAGGTCCCCCATGTGCCTGGTACTGTTTAGTCGGGGTGCTGGGAGAAAAGAGCTGGCAGAACAGATGAACAACTACTCTTCTCATGACGCTTAAACTCTAATGTCAGGAGACAAGATAGCAAATGAGATAGAGTATGGTAGGTGACAAGTGTGTTAGAGAAAAACCAAAGCAAGACAGAGGGACAGGAACAGGCACGGGCAGGGTGGGGAGGGGGGAGCTGTCAAGAAAGAGCTCAGGGTGGATCCTCTGGTAAAGACCTCAGCAGCAGAGTTAATCTGCTGACCGGGGAGGAAGCCTTGCAAAGGCTTCTGTGGGAAGGTGACAGGGAAGTGGGCAGGAGGCAGGAAGTGGGCAGGGGGCAGGAGATCAGCAGACGGTGTGGAGGTGATGCGGTGGGGAGGGCTGCGCTGTACCTGAAGCAGCAGGCTTCGTCCCAGGCCATGGGAGTCAAAGCAAGGCTTTGATGCCTAAATTTCTGGTCAAGAACGTCTTGTTTCCTGAGTTCCAGTGCATGTCTTTGTGGTACTGACCTTTGCCATTTAAAATAAAAATGTTTGATCCATTTTACTCAGTGACACAAACACTGTTTGGATCACCCAGGCTCAAAACGTTGGGAAAATGGAATATTGAAAGGGATAAAGGTAAAAAATAGTAAAAACGACCTCCAAACAAATGATGACCTTTACTTTTTCAAAATCAAATTTCCTTACATACTTGTGTTGTTAAGCAGCAGAATGCTTTCTTTAAAGCCCTAAAAATCCCTAGACAGAGACTCACAGTTCTAACTCAGTCCTCGATTCACATGCTCTACATGTGTCCCAAGCCCTGGCGTTCCACAACACAGGCTGAAGATCACTGTTCTAAGTCATTTCTTTCTTTCATATTCTTCTTCACACCACACTATCTCTGGCCTAAGTTACTAGAACAGCCTCTGATAGTTCTTAAGTGGAAACTTCCTCAAGCTAAACTCTAAGTATCTTCTAGATTAATCACACACAGAGTTAAGCTAGTTACGATAACTATTCAAAAATCTTCAATGGCTCTCTTCTTACTAAAGACCCCAAATCCTAAGACTCAAAACCCTTTAAAGGACATTCAAAGGTCTCTAAATAGGACCTCAAAGCACCTTCTGTTCCTTGTCCCCACATGGGCAGACATGAGGCAAGGTACTTAAACACACCACTTAGGTAACAGCTACGCCACTGTGTACATCATTTTCTTCTCCTGGGACACTGTGGCTTCACCTAGGCTTTTGCTTTGAAATCTAAGAAAAGTCTGACAGTTTAAATTTTCTAACAGTATCTTATTCAGTAATACTCTTGTTTTAGGTAACTAAGCTGAGACAATCTCACGTTCTCGAACACCTGCCCACTGTACACCTAAGGAGTTATTTCTCAGATCCAGTCATGTTTATACTTCTGTATGCAGTGGCTGCTAAGGTAACACATTCAAACCTAAGGCCTAGATTTTAATTCCTCACCAAAAGGAAGCACAGCATCTCAGAGAAATAATTTCAGGGTAGAGGTAGTTACAAGATGAGCATTTTATTATTAAAAGAAGGAGAAAGAGAAGGAAGAGGAGGAAGAGGAAAGAAGAAAGAAAAAAGGATGTGTATTTAACTTACTGCTAAAGAAAGAGGAAAGAAGAAGAAGGAGAAGCAGAAGCAGCAGCAGCACAAGCTCAAAAAGGATGGGGCAGCCACAGTCAGATCTGAGATGAAATTTTGGAGAATAGGATCTTGGCATGGTCCTAAATATCTCCCGGTGCACAGCTTATTAGATAGAAGAAATTAAAAACAGGACAGCAATCCTGTAGTGGAGAACTCAGACAATACCTGGACAGATCAACATTCACACTATCAATCAATCAATGAGCAGTGGGTGTGATGCCCCATAGAGGTCACAATGCCACGTTGGTGGTCTTTCAGCCAAGACTGTACCACACCCGAATCTATCCCAAAGAAATGTCCAATGAGCACAAGATGGTGGATTTTGTTTTGTTTTGTTTTTTAAATAAAAGGGCAGAGAGACCGTATGCTTCAAATGTCAGTGTTAAAAAAAGGCTGGCGTGTTAAATACATGCAACCTGCTGGATCAGACGCCGCTGGGTGCTGGCTGTGAAGACCAAAGTTGGGCAACTGCAAAGCTCAAAAGTAGGACGCATCGTGTGCTCTAAACTGAGGGAGCTGGTAACCGCTCCACGGCTCTCTGAGAGACGCCTCTCTTAGGACACACGGGCAGGTGCTCAGGAGGAAAGGTCAGGACGTGTACTTAACTTACTGTTAAATGTCTCACAGAATCAAGTGGGTAGGAGGCTGGGGCGGGGGGATGAGCAAGGCAGCACAGGACTGCATTACATGAGGAAGCAAACGGCCAGGCGGAGGTAGGTCGAGCAGGTACACAAGAGCCTTCTGTTTTTTGGGTATCAGTTTAATCTGTGCAACTTCTTAGAGATCGAATTTATTTTCAAGTTCGAGGTTACAAAGAAAAGAAAGTTACTCAAGCTTTCGAAAGCTCTATAGTTGAATGTAGAACATAATTCTGGGCACTTAAGCTCTCTCTCTCTCTTTCTCTCTCAGTACTGGAGATTGAACCCAGGACCTTCACACTGAGCTACATCCCCAGTCATTTATTTTTTATTTTGAGAATGTTTGACTAAGCCGCCCAGGCTGGGCTCAAATTTGTAATCCTCCTGCCTCAGCCTGCCCTGTTACTGGGATTACAGGTATGTACCCCCCCCCCGAAATTTCTTATTTTTTAAGGAAAAACTTTTGATCTTTTATAAATTCTCAAACAGACACTGGTAGGCATTGCACATAGTATTACCTAGAGTTGTAGCACTGTTATGTTATTCCTAGCTTTCTTGTATTTTTGATTATAGATAACAGGCTTATTTAAAAAATTAAAACTTATCTCTTGTAGAATGTGCAAACTGAAGTTGACATTAAAACAAATTTGGGTCATAGTATACATATTCAACAACAGTAATACATAGTATTTAGTTAACAGGATCTCTCATTTTGAGTTCCTGTATTAGTTTTTAAACAATTGAGTTTTATAGATCTCTACCTTCTGTATTTACGACAGTAGCTTTAAATCATGCTAAAGCTTAAAAAAATAGGTATTTCACTTATCTGGCCATCTCAACAGTAATACTAAGTTAAATATAAAGGAAAGCAAGTGTGTCTCACTAACAGAAAGTTAGTGGCTCGGTAGCAAACAGCACTTATTTTGACTTGTCTCTCCTTCCAGTAGAAGCCACTCGTCTCCTCAAGCAGCTGTAATTCCTTAAGGAACGTTAAATAACTCCTGTGTGTGAAAAGCAACTGCTGAACTAATGTGGACTAAGATTCATTTTTGCTTTGAGAATGATCTATGCACTTCCAAAAGTAATAAACACACAAAAAGCCTTAAATTAAAAAAATATAGTTTGGGCTGGGCATGGTGGTACACGCTTATAAGCTCAGTGCTAATGGAAGATTAGGTAGGAGGATCTGATCAGAGACAGAAAAGCTCAATTTCTGTCTGGGCAGCTTCGTGCGACCCTGCCTCAAATAAAAGTAAAAATAATACAGGGGTGAGAGGCAGTTGGCTCAGTAGCTCAACCCCTGGATTCAATCCCCAGTACCATGGGACAAAAAAAAAAACACAACAATTTAAACAAGTAAGAAGGTTTGATATGATTGACCATACTGAGAAAATTGTGTTAATAGTGCAAAATATAAAGCAACAAAGAAGAACTGTGATTCAATTATTGAATCATCACGTCATATTTCTGGACTACAATTTTCAAAGTTCACTTTTCAACAGCTGCTCTTCACTAATTGGCTGCTTATGAGTCATGCTGCTGACCTTTGCACCGATCTTTGAAAAATCTTTCAGGCTGCATATGTGAAAGCAGATGGTGTTTTTCCTTGAAAGCTTGAGAAGCAATATATATGCATGCAGTTCAGGTAGAGATGACATCACCCCTCACAATAACATTACCTCACCCTTAAGCAAAGGAATGAGTCATCCAGACAGTCAGCTGCAAATCTCTCGGTAGAAAAAAATGTAGGTTACCGTGATGCCTTTTCACATCCCACTGATTTGCCTTTTCACATCCCACTGATTTGTCCATGGAAGCAGCTATTTGTTCTGATCCGCTGCACTGCATCTCAAACTAATTATGGGACCTGCTTTTCCCTGTGGTCATTTTAAAAAGCCTAAGTTCTAGTTATTTTGTGTATATTTCCTCTATTTGTTTTTTCCTGTACATAATTTTAAAATAAAAGGTTTGTCACTCTGGCT